GATCGGAACTAGACCAACACAAGCGACAACTTACCCACCGCCCCGCGTGCCGATGTGGACACGCCGCTCCGCCAAGAGTTCACAGCGGACTGGTGTTCGGCAGCGGATCAGCGGCGCCCGCGTCACTCTCAGGGAAACGGGCATCGTGGGCCAATGTGGATACGGAAATACGGGAGGAGGAAGAGGAGGCGCAAGAGGAGGAGAGGCCACGCCTGCGCCTCGCCCCACGCGGGCGCGGCTTCCGCCCAAATAAGCACCCCTCCCCCCGAGCGAAAGCATGGGGGCGCGCGCGGGCAATGGCGGCGCCCGCCGTATACCACGCAGAAAGAATGCAAGGATGCGCCCTGACTGACGGGGTGCGCTTCCGCCATTGAAGAGCCCCTGGGGCGGGTCAGGACTACCCGCAGAAATGCCATTGCCCGCGGCTTCCCTGGGCACTGTCGTTCCACGCGCCGCTTTTTCTTACGTGCTAACATGTCTGCATCCGTCTCCTGATCCTCATCCTTCTCTCCCATCATCTCCTCCGCTGAAGCCAGAGGAGGTGTGGGACTCATGCTCCTTTTGCCCCGTCTAGGCTCCCCTGGACAACCGCCCTAATCGACGATTTGGTTGGGAACGCAAGCTCGGCGCGTCGCAGTTGCGCCCCCTTCGGCGCGCTACGCCTTGCAAGCTGATAGCATGTCGCCGTGCTCCTCGCGCGAAGGGAGCGCGGGATGTACTTCGCGCGTCGCGCCGAAGCGTGGTGGCCCAGAATCGGCGAATAATCAGACATGCGAATGCCACGCGCCATGCCGCAAGAATCCGCACCTTCGCGCCCCCCCCCCGCCCTTATCCGCTTCCTTCTCCCCCCCCCCCCCCCCCCCCCCCCCCCGCCACCCCGCCCCACCCCGCCCCGGCGAAAGAACCCGTCGGCCGCCTTTTCCCTTTCTTTGTCCCGCCCTCCTCTCCTCTACTCGTCATCGCCGGCTGTCTCCTCCTCCACCTCCTCTTCCGCCTCCTCCGCCTCCTCCTCCTTCGCGCCATCGCCGCCATCGCCAGCAGCATCAGCATCAGCATCAGCATCATCATCACCATTACCATCATCATCCCCAGCATCACCCTCACCATGCTCCTCCTCCTCCCCCTTTTCCTCCTCCTCCTCCTCCTCCGCCGCTTCCTGCTTCCTTTCTTCGCGCCCTTCGGACGTCGCGCGCCGCGGTGGGCCGCGCGCCCCCTCGCCGGGCCACGCGGACGGGGGTCTCAGCGTTCGCTTGCGGCTCATATGACGCCGCCTGCGAGGGTGCCCGTCCATGGCCGGGGGGCGCGGCGTGGGTTGCCCAGTTTGCGGGTGGCCTGGCGCCCTGGCGCCCCGGGGAAGGTGGCCCCCTGGGACGGCCCTTTGTGGAGACGCTCTGATGGGCCGGCGATGCCCTGCCAGCGGCCAGCCGAGACGATGCCGCCGGCAGACCGCCCTCCCCAACCGCCGCCCCGCCTGCGGCGCGCCCGCCGCTGGCGCGCCCTGGCGGCACTCGCTCGGGCGGATGCGGGGGCGGCCTCGCTGCGCTGGCGGTCTGGGCGTCGCGCCCGCAGGGCGCCCGCCGTGGGCGCGCCCAGGCGGCGCCCCGCTCATGCGCCCGCGGGGCGCTCGCCGTTGGCGCTCGGGTCGCGGCGGCCGCGGGCGGCCCCAATGCGCTGGCTGTCAACGCGATCCACGATGGCGCCCAGCTCCCGCGCCTCCTGCGCCTTGGGCGCGAATCAATGGGAGGGCGAGATAAATGGGGGAGGCGAGAAAGGCGCCGTTCGCGGGCCCTGAAGGCCCCCTCTTGGGCCCCAATTGGCCGCTTCAAGGGCCCTCAAGGGCCCCTTTTCGGCAACCCTCGCTGCCCGCGCGACGATCGCACCCCCGCTGCGCATCCTCCGAGCGCCGCGCGCGCAGCCTCCGCCGGATCTCTTCCGCCGATGAGCCAGCCAGCCAGCGCGATCAGGGATGCGGCGCCCTCTAGCTTGCGCTGCCCTGCGCAACTGCGCCGTGTCCTGGGAGCGCGCGGCAGGTGGGCGGCTGTCTCAAGGCTGCCCCTGCAAAGGCGAGCTACACGCGGGCCAACGCTATCCGCCCGTAGCGCCCCCTGGAGGGCAAGCTTGGCCAACGGCCGAACGTCGGCGGGGGAGCAACTGGCGGCGGGGAGTTCTGGGAGCCATGAGTGCCCATGGGCGGTGCGCTCCAGGTTGCCCCGCTGGCGTTGCCACCACTTGCACTGGCTGTCGGCGGTCGCCCTGCGGACGTTGGCCCGCTGGAGAAAAGGCCCACCGCTTGCGCCTGGCCATGCGCGGGGCCAGTGCCGCTGCTCGCGGTCGCCGACTGCGCAATCAGGTGGCCTCGTCTACGGCTGCATTCCATGACTCCCGGGCCTGCGCTGCAACCTCCATGACTGACGCGGCGAACGAGCACCTGCCGTCCGTGAGCGCCTGGATCCACTGAGCGATGGCCCTACGTGCGCGCACGCCGCGGAGAGCCGCCTCCAGCCCAGCTGTTGCAGGAGGATGGCCCGATGGACGGGCCATGTGATGCCCGGCGCCCTCTTGCACCACTGCGTCTGGACTTGGATGAGGGCCTGGGCGAACTCCGCCAGATGGGCACGCAGCTCGACGCCGGCCGCGCGGGCGGGTGTCCCGCAGTCCTCGGGCGAGGGCGGCTGTCTTATTGGGCCCGTGCCTCAGCCGTCCGCGGCGCCGGTGCGATGCTGCCTCCAACGCCTCGCCTCCATCCTCCTCCTCCTCCTCGCACGTGGCCAGGCGCCGCAGTCCTGTCTATAGGCCCGTGCCCGCGCGCGCCCGCCCGCGTGAGCTGCGCCCGCGTGATGGGGCACTGCAGAGTTACCGGCCGATTCTGACAGAGGGAACGGCGGATGATAAAGAGCACGGACATTCAGTAACAGAAGATAAGCACAGGCAGGGACGATCAGGGCAGAGCGAGTGGGCAGAAAGATACCGAAGCGGCAGCTGGGACAAGAGTGGACGTCATTCGCGAGGGCCTGACGCAGCAGAGCAAGGAAAATGAGGCACTCCCTGTAGTGCTGAAAGGGATATGAAGCATGGCACCCTAGCACACATGTTAAACGTCGGTTAGCGTGAAGCCTCATCGAAGTAGTCCAGTTACCTGAGAGGGTCTTCCACACATCATTGGCGAGGGGACCGCGCATCCCGTGCAGAAGCGAACGGACCTCTTCTTAGTTGACAAACTCCAAACCCTCAAAGGACTCAGGAAACCACGAAGCAAGACGGCGCCGGAAGCCCGCACCGAGGTCATCAGGGAAGAGTTCTCGCTGGAAAACTCGGACAAGATGAGCCTGCAATCTCAGACGCTCAGGGTGCCGAGGTGACTCGGAAGCCGCGGCGACAAGCCCCTGGGCAACGCCCAGAGGACCGATCCAGCTCGAGTGAGGGTGCGTGAGGCGGGGTAGCCCACGGCGGTTTGTCCTAGATACTCAGCAGAAGCTGGGCAAGCCCTGAAGGGAGGCGAGGACAGACCAGCACACTGATTCACAATTGTGAAATGCCCGGCCGCGAGTTCTCTGAGATCGTCTAATATCGCACCATGCTCTGGGAATGTGCGGATGGCAGCACGCATCAGACAAGCAGCGCTCAGTGCCTGTATAATGGTGAACCACCCCATTGGCCAATGTTGAACCAACCAGCGCGGGATATGGCACAATGGGGGACATTGAAAAGAGAGGCACATGTCGAGTGCTCAACACGAGAAGTGGAGGCAGGTAGAAAGGGGAAGGCATCAGGAAGAGGAGAGAACTGGGCGACATAGGACAGGGTGGACAGAGCGCGGCTAGTGTAGAGGACCTCCTCCTCCTCCTCCTCCTCCTCCTCCTCCTCCTCCTCCTCCCCCTCCTCCTCCCCCTCCTCCTCCGCCTCCTCTGCCTCCTCCCCCTCCTCCTCCGCCTCCTCCTCCTCGTCACTCAAGCTGGAATGTTTGTGGTTGTCCAAAATGGTGGCTCCGCTGCAGCGCTGGCCGCACTACAGGGCCGACGCTTGTTGGCGCCGCTCAGGACGCCGCTATCGCCAAAGCGCAGGCCACACTTCTGGGCCCGATTCCGTCCTCGTCGTTATCGCCCCCTCCTGCCCCCTCATCCGTCTTGCCCTGGTTTTCTTGGTCCTTCCGCTCATCCTACTCCTGCTGCTACTGCTCCTACTGAACCTCCTCATTCCTCATTTCCTCTTCCTCCTGCTCACTCTCGCGCACGCCTTGATTGCCCTCCTTCCCCTCTCCCCACATCATCATCTGTGCTGCTTCTCCCACTCCTCCCCCTCCATCCTCCCTCTTCTGTTTCCGATTCCTCCTCACGGTCACCCCCCCGGCCAGGATGGATTGTTGGGGCCTGGGTGTTTTTAGACCCCCAGACAGTGCGGCATATACATGCTGCCCAAACTTATGTTTGACACCAATGCTCCATCCCTTCGGCTGCACGTAAGAGTGACCCTGGGCAAGAGTGACCTTTGGTGCGCGGCATTTTGGGGGGCGCGAGGAGGCCAAACACAAGCGCACAAGACGCTAATATCGCGCCGAACGCGGCGATCGGAGGACCCCGGTGAGCGCGCACCAAAGGTCGCTCCGGCGAAGGGCCACTCTTACGTGTAGCCGATCCCTGGGGCCCTCCCAATGGGGGGCCCCAATGGATCGACACTTCAGCAGGAGGAGGAGGAGGAGGAGGAGAAGGAGGAGGAGGAGGAGGACGAGGAGGACGAGGTTATCTGCTCCCGTCGCCCCCTCGCCTGAAAACCCTAGCGAGGTGGTCCAGCCCGTTACGCTGGAGACATCCTCGCAACTCTAGGCTCCGAGATGCCGTTCGGGATGAAGAGGAGGTGGAGGAGGAGGAGGAGGAGGAGGAGGAGGAGGAGGAGGAGGAGGGAGGAGGAGGAGAGGAGGAGGAGGAGGAGGGCCCGCGGCCCGCTATAGGAAGGGGCCGCCGCGCGGCGCCGACGGGGAGGAAGTGGCGGCGGGGCGACCGCGCCTCTCCACTGCGGACTGCTCGGCCTGCGGGGCGGCGCGCTGTAGAGAGGGGCGGGGCGCGGGAGAGGGGGGGGGGGGGGCTCTCGTCTCGGGGGAGGGGGGCGGGCGAGGAAAGGGAGGGGGGGAGGGGTGGGGCGCGGGAGAGGGGGGGGGGGGGGGCGCGGGAGGGGGGCGGGGCGCGGGAGAGGGGGGGGGGGGGCTCTCGTCTCGGGGGAAGGACGGGCGAGGGAAAGGGGGGAGGGGTGGGGGATCGAAGATGAGGGTCCGTGGGCGTTCTCGACAGGTTCGAAGCTCTGGAGCAGCCTCCGGAAGCATTATGGGGCAACTCCTCGAGGACCTCCGGGGAAATGGGCCTCTTCCTCCTCCTCTTCCTCCTCCTCCTCCTCCTTCACCTCCCGCTCTTCTGCTCCTCCTGCTCCCCTCCTCCTCCTCCTCCTCCTCCTCCTCCTCCTCCTCCTCCTCCTGCTTCCCTTCCTCCTGGTTCCTTGTTCTGGACCACCCTCGGGCCACCCGGCCCGCGGCCTTCGCGACTGGCTCGCAGGGCCACCAGCTGTTCAGCTGCGCGCACCGCTGCGAGCACGCGCTGCGCCGCGGCCGGCGCTCTCAGCCGGACCTCGCGCTGCACGCAGAGGGCGGGTAGGAGCAGCCAAGCACTGGCCGCTGCGCCTGACCGTTCGGCAGCCGCGCTGGGCGCGCGCTTCTTCGGCACCCGTGTGGCCCTTGATTCATCACACTGCGAAGGCCCCGCTCAAGCGCCGTGCTCCGCTGCGCGCTTCCATGGGCCGGAGTGCGCCCAGTCGAGGTAGCGCGCGCCCGCTCGCAAGGCGGCCACGCCGTTGCGGACGAGGGCAGTCCCGAGACGACCTCTACTGGCGTCCCCGCTAGGCTGACCGCCGGGACATCCGTTGTCATCTCAGTGAGCGTTTTCTCATTCGGCGTTTCGACATGGGGCGGCAGGGGGGAGAGGGGGGGGTCTGGCTCTGGACCTCTGCTTCATGCGACTGTTTGCAGCAGTGCGTCCTAGGGGGGAGACTCCACCCGCTTGAAACAGGTGTCAAACATAGCCAAGATCTGCTCCATGGGGGTGAGGAGGGGGTGTCGAGGGCCCGCGCCGATCGGCAAAAGAATGGATAAGAAAACGACCACAAAGCCCTGCGCTGCCTGCGCCCCGTCGACTGGCCCGCTGTGGTCGCTCGGGGTGATGAGCCCCTTCAAGCGCAACCCACAGGGCGCCGGGGCCCATCCGCGCATCCTTCTGTCGCACGCGCGCACCGTCGGCCCATAAGACGAAGCCAGGACGGGAAAACATCGGGCGAAGATGGATCGAGAATCTCTGAGATCCGGCGGCTCTGGAGGATGCCTCGGGCGCCGCCGTCTTCTCAGAGCGTTCCGGGATGGGACGCCCTGAGAGCTTTCCAGAACGCTCTGGAATGGATTTATCCTTGTCTTAGCCCCGTCCGACATGCCCCGTCGGCCCAAGACCTCTGGCGTGGCTGGGGCGGCGCTGGCATCTGGACCACGGGAAGTGGCGCAAGGGCCGAGGTTGCCTCCTCGGCGCGGGCGGCGAGCCGAACGTCCCTCTGCAGCGTGCCCGTGCTCCCTACGCCTGGCAGCAGCCGCGCGCGCAGCGCGGCCTGCGAAATGCGCGCTGTCGCCAACGCGGCGGCCCTGTCTGCGCCCCGAACTCAGCAGGCTCAGGAGCGGGAGCGGCGTTCGCGCTCCTCGCAGACGGACCGACCCTTCTGGCGCAGGCCGCGGCCAGCAGTGTAGTTGGTGACCTCCGTGTCCGACATGAATTTCTCCGACTGGCCTGGTCCACGACAGCGCCTCCAGCCACTGCTCACCCGTCTCTTGCGCACTGGTGCCGCCAGTGTGGCTGACGTCGACGCTGTCCAAATTGAAGTCTCCGACTTCCCTTAGCAGCAACACCGCTCCCGGTCTATGTCTGACCGTCTTCCACGCGCTGACGACAGCATTGCCATTGGCGATGAGGTTCGGCCCCTGCTTCGGCCCTAAAGACGGCTGGTACTGCTGGCCCTAAACACGGCTGGTACTACTGGCCCTCCTCGCACGCGCTGGCCCCAACCCTGTACCATAGAGTCGGCGGTAATAGCGCGTCTTGAGGGGAGTGCCCCCGCACGGCCAGAGGAGACGTCGGCCCCCAGCCATAGCATACTCACGCGAGCACCCCAACTTCATTCACAGCTGACCGAAACGGGCGCTCTCGCACGCACGCAGCGATGCCAGCAACATGGCAAATGGCGTTGGATCCCCCATCCCGCTACGCAGCACAACAATCGTGCTGCCAAATGTTGTCTTTCGCGTGCGCGGTTTGTCCCAAGTTTCCAGCTCCACAAACAGGGAGTGTTGTGGGGCCCCCCGAGCTTGTCCACGTCCTTGCCGTCGTCGTCCTCGCCGTTGCAATGGCCGTCCTCCTCGACAGTGCCGCCCTTGTCTTCGTAGTCTTCTGCGTCGCCGTCGACGTCCTCCGCCTCCGCCTCCGCCGCGTCCTCCTCGTATCCATCGTCGGAGCCGCTTTGATCGTTGTCGCTGTCAGTGTCGTCGTCGTCCTCCTCCTCCTCCTCCTCCTCCTGCTGTTCCTCCTCCTGCTCCTCCTCCTCCCGCCCTCCCCTCCTACCCTCCTCCCCTCCTCCCCTCATCCCTCCTCGTCGTCATCCTCCTCCTCCTGCTGCTCCTCCTCCTCCTTGTCCACTGGCTCTCCGTTGGCTCCCACCAAACCATGATCGAAGGGGCTGCGCAGAGGGGGGGGGGCCTAAACACCATCGACCACCTCCCCCCCGCACCAGTAGGACGGAGCCCGAAGACCAGGACCGCCTTACTGGCGCAGGGAGGAAGCCCAGGTGCCTGGCTGCCCCTAAACCACCGCACCGCAGAGGCAGGCGGGCCGATCCTCGTGGCCGTCCTCGGACCGCTCGGGGGCGGGATGCACAAATAACAAGCTACTTACACAACTGGCCCCACCACTCGGCCGCCTCAGCATCATCAGCAGGGCGGGTCAGGGGCCAGGGCTCAGAGAGGTAGGCCCTTAGACCATGGACATCTCCTTTTCAGAATCTGCGCGCGCTGTGCGTCAAAAGCTTAGTTGCATGGGCCCGCCAGCTTTCGGGGGATCCCCGATGCGGAGTCCCCGCACTCTAGACACAAAAAGTGGGAGAACAAAAAAAAACTGGTAAACCAGTTTCCCTCACCGGACAACCATAACATGTATGAGAACGGAACGGGGGATGGTGACGAATTTCTGCCAGCAGCTTTAAGCTGGGGGTGAAAGCTGCACGCCTACCGGAGCCCTCCGCATTTGAAACGATTTGGCGCACGTGATGCAATTCCAACACGAATCATTCCAACGCACACGGGGGCGACGGCCACTTGGCAAAAAATTCGGCCTCGCGACCCTAGGCTCCTCGGCCAAAGCCCCGAAGAGCCCTTTCGCCGCCGGGGTGCCGTTTAGAGACCAATTCATTCCTACTACCACCTCCTCCCAACCCGCAAACACACACTTCGTAGAGATGGATATCTTGAAGCACGCGCTCATGGTCTGAGTGCACTCCATGTCTGGCGTACTCGTCGGCCTTTTCGTTCCCCTCCTTGTGGCGGGCTGCGATGCCTGAGCACTCTGAACGAACGAGCGCCTGGGCCTTTTTCAGATTTAAAGCAAAAGCCCTTGACAAAGGGCACGCCATACTTGAGATAGCGGGCTGCCTCCTGAGAGGGCGGCGCAGGGTTCGTTGTAGCATCCGAGCAAAGCCTGGCAGTCGATATGCACTAGATACGACTCTGTGGGATTGTCCTCCAGGGCCTCGAGGCGTTGAACGCCCGAGAGGAGCCCGCGGACTTCGCCAAAAGCTGCACCCCGAGGGAATAACCCAGGAACGTTGCCGAAGATGCCTCTAACAAGCTTGCTAGTGTCGTCCACGGAAACAAAGCCCCAACCCGCCAGAACAACGCGGTCATAAGTCGGCCCTCAGCAGGGCCCGGCAGTGTACATATACCTGTCCAGGTTGAACCTGAAAGGTGACATGGGCCCGCCAGGCCGCGCATAGTTGATTTACCCTGTCCAGGGGGCCTCGCGGATACCTGGGGGGATGGGGGGCCTTAAACTGTTGAAAAAAGATTGGCCGCCTTCCTCGAGTCCTGCTTGCGCCCATCCATCCGGGCGGAACGTGAGCTGTCCGCACATCGGCAAGTCCTGGACATGGGAAGCATCCGTGCCGAGCGCTGTCGATGGTGCCTCCAGCACCCCGGCGGCAAAACAAAAAACAGAGTGGCGCCATCTGGGAGCCCCACTTGTGCAGGCGGCTGGCAGTTATATGAGACCGAGTGAACACTTGCTTCATCGCGCGTTTCAAAGGTTTCGGGCGCTTGGAACCCCTTCAGGGCTTGAAGCTAGAGGCCCCAGACCAAAATCTCCTGGGCACGTTCCTGTTGGCAGTCTGCCAACCTCCTCTGCGTGGCCTGCGATGCGAACTCGTCACCCCGGCCCCTCGCGAAGTATTTAGATCCCGCGCAGTAGGGAACGCCTGAGAGTACGCATGGAGAGCCATATCACGCTTAACTCCCCTGGACCTCGAATCGACCAGCCCGCGCTTTCAATCGAGAGAAGCATATCGCCACCAAGGCCCAAAGACAGATATTCCCAATATTCTTTTCGGGCGAAGAAGGTGGCGTTGCTTCGCCATCCTAGCAATCTTGCAGGGCTCGCGCACCGAAAAGCACTCCCAATGTCGGATTCGATCATCGGTAGATAGCCAGAACTCCTTTGCAAAACGGGTCAGGGCCGCGCCAGAATGCTCGATCGGGCCCCTGCTCGGGTCGAGCGCGAAAGCAAGATTGAGGTCGGCCGCGCAGGTCGCGAGGCCTGACGGGCCAGCTGCTTGAGACATCAATGTTCGAATCACTCTGAGACCCCACCCCACACCCCCACCCCTCCACGCGTCGTGGCAGGTATGGCCCCGCAGAGCCAGATTTTCTCAAACTTATCCAACTTCTGTTTTCCCTTCCCCCAC